ATGTGTGATCCAGGCGGAAGAAAAAAAATAGAGTTACTCTCTAGTTCAAAAATAAATAAACAATTCTGAAAAACACCACTGCTTTCGTACATGATAGAAACATACTAGGCTAAAAGCACAAACAGGCCGGCATATTCGACCTATGGATGACTATGTCGTTCGTAATAAAATAAACGCTTGACCACATTTCATCAAAATCACTTCGATTACCGTTCATTTTATCTTTGGCTTCATTTAAAATATTTGAAATAAACAAGTAAAGAATAACTATTTATATAGGCTGGAATCTTTACAAGTGTTTACTAATGAAGGCATAGTCCTTTTTTAAGTTATGACCAATTTTCATGGAACCCTGTTGCGTTCTAATGATATTCTACTATTGGATCCGACCAAAATTGCAACACTAAGACTCGCTCAGATTCTGACTGTAGGATCCGAATGTCGTTCTGTAAAACCAGTTTCCGACATTATTCCTATAGAATTCCATTGTATCTCGAACGGAACCTAGTCAGATCCGATATCGGATGAATTCTCTTGGGAAGCTCTTGAATAGAATTTTTAAGAGATTTCATTCAACTGAAAGATGTGTAGGTCACAACATTTCTACTTTTTGTTTCTGTCTGAGTATCGTTAATAGTCCATGATTATAGAAATGTGAAAACATTTATGAGTTTCTTCTGATCAACCTAATATCAATATTTCATTTATTTGTATAGTGATGGAATTATTTTCATTAACAAAGAACATAACAATAACAGATGTCCAATGGCATGCATATCCTATTGGCTTTTTTCTATTATTATTATGCATATTAACTATATTAGGTAATCTCTTAGTTATATATGCTATAATTCGTGAACGTACATTACATACATCTACATATTACTATGTTGCATCATTGGCATTTGCGGATCTCTTAGTTGGTTTAATAGCTATGCCATTTGCATTTATATTTGAAATGACTGATGATGAATATTGGTTGTTCCCACGACATCTAAGATTTCTATGTGATTTTTGGCATTCAATGGATATATTTGCAACAACAGCATCAATATTTGGTCTATGTTCTATTGGATTAGATCGATACCTATTTATTACGAAACCTATTGAATATCCTACTTCATTTATAGCAAATAGATGGTATTATATGTTATCATTCATATGGATAGGTTCAGCACTTATATCATTTCCAGCTGTAGTTCATTTTGGAACAGTACGAGAAATTTTGCGTACGTATAAAAAGATTTTTAATGTTCTATTTCGTATTGTTTTCATTACTCTTCGATTCATATATATATTGATATGAAGATATTGTTATAAAACTCAAATTTAGATTCGATACGTAAAGTCGATGTTGACAATGAGGTTGATAAATAATTGCCGATAAAACAGAGATAAACAATAGATAATCTGTAGAATAAGTATTCATTCTGAAGCTCTGTTTGAACATTAGTTTATTTATATCATAAGGATTCAATTTCTTATCTTAGCCTGCATTCATAATGGAATGAATTAGTCAGTTTCAATTTTTTTATTTTTATTACTTTTATTTGACAGACAAATTGAAAAATACAAAATAACGATTGTGAACGCACTAAGAGCCTGTTTCGGTAGTTAATTGGGGCCGACTTGATGATGCAAAAATAATGAAAACTTGACATTTTCAACTATGAGAAAGATCATTAATTTTTTTATTATATCATGTGTTACAGCAAATAGAGGTTTACACAAGAAAGTTAAATATCGATTTCAACGACTCGAGAGCTTGTTTTGTTAGATTCTTTGTCGATTGGTTCAATAACTTATAGATGATTATAAAATGTACTCATCATCATTTTCACAACAACACTTTTTCATTATTCGCATTCAGTTTTTTCGGAGTCACTGTCAATATTTTGTTTTCTTTTTTCGTTTTGTACATTTTCATGTTGCAAATACCAAATTAGTTTTAGCAGTTAACCACTTACAATAACCATATTTGATTTAGGACGATCATCGACGTCAAATGAAACCATATCGGTACCTTCGTTACTATTTAAAGAATGTGAATTTCCAGATAATCCATATTATATATTATTCGTATCGATTGTATCTTGTTATCTACCATTGATTATTATGACTTATGTTTACATTCAAGTGTATTTAGCAGCAGAAAAACAAATACAAGCAATCAATTCCGGTTATAAACATCATCATTTGACAAAATCTGCCAAATCATTTTTTCCTACATTTCGTTGGAGAGAAATTTTAACTGGAAAACGTTCAAATACAAATAAAATCAATAGAGTGCCTGAAAATAATTTACGAAAAAAATCAATCGCATTATTATCAAATCGTAAACCATCATTTGAATTAATAACACTTCGTATTCATCATGGTAAATATCAAAATCCAACTACAGATTCATCTAGACGAAGTAGTAACAAACCTATGAAGAAAATTCCACGTCAATATGCACGCACAAGTAGTGTTTGGAAAAAAATTTCAAAAAATCAAAAGGCAGCTAAATTTATAGGCATTATTATGGGTGTATTTGTTGTTTGTTGGTTACCATATTTTATTTATTTCATATTAAGTGGTGTATTTGGTTTTCGTTTTAAAGATGATCAAAATCATGAATTATTATTTAAAATATTTTCATGGTTAGGATATACAAATTCATTATTGGATGTTCTTGTTTATGTTTCTACTTCCAAAGAATTAAGAATTACATTATGTAAATTAATTTTAGGTCGTCGATTGAGATATAAATACAGTTAATTATAATAATAATAAAATAACTTATTATTATCCAAAAAATGTAATAATTTTTAGTAAGAAATATTTATCGAACGTATTGTTCTCTTTACATTTAGTATATTCACGATGTAATTTGGATTTTCAACTCTATTATGTCAATGATGATATGCAAATTAAGTCATATGGAATTACGAGGATATTTCATCAACAGGTGAAGAATAGAATTCTTCAGTGATAATGCAAATTTTTAAAAAAAATATACATGTAAAAACAAAAGAGTTTTTGTAATAAAAATAAATAAACTACACAGACATATGTGGACTATGTAAAACAAAAACTACGTTATAGAATCTCTTCAAGTTATGATATAAAGGTATTGTGTATAACTTTGAAAAATAATAGTTCGAAGAAAAAAGAATACACTGACATAATACTTTTCATTTGTCAAACGAACACATTCAAAGTTGATTATATTCGAATAAAACAATCGATAAGTAATTGTGAGTTTAACACATGGCTATTGACCCTAATTGTTGATTGTATTAGCATCTGTGTAAAGAATGATTTATGTAAATGATTCATCAATCTCGTTGTGACATAGCTCTAATCCTAAAGTATTGATCATTTCATTGAACTATTTTATGTTGTATTCAATTTCTCTTGAAGTACCACTCGTTGTACTTTTGAATATTCATTCAACAGTGGAGTTAATCATTGATATAGAAATCTTGAATTCATAATAAAGTTTTTCTCATTTATCATGAGTCTTGTTATTGCAACAATTTTCCTTGTCTTTTTATTTTTATCAAACAACACAGTCAATTATTATCATTTACCATGTGCAAAACAGAATGATAACAGTTAAATTTATAGCAATCATATAATGTGTACGTAGGTAAAGTTAGCAGCAGATTCGAGTTTTTTGCGAAAATATTTGTCTTCAGACTTGTGCCAAAAAAGATGTTAACTGTGCCAGATAGAGCATCGAATGTACTATAGAATTCATACCTTTCAAAAAAATTTATCGTAACAAAATGGCCAAAAATTAAAAAGGACTACTTTTCAAACACTGTTTTTAGCGAAAAAATCAGTATTTCGGCCTAATATTCATTTCAATACCTGTGCCAGTTTCAGAAAACGACTGTGCCAGATAGAACTCGATGAGATCTATCGATTGATACCAAATTCAACCTAGTTCATCATCGAAATGGGTCTTCAGCTGTCCCGAGATCAGTTAGCAGCAGATTCGGACTAATATTATGAGTAAATATTCACACAGAGAGTTGTGCCAATTAAGAAAACAGTTGTGACAGATAGATCTCGATGAGATCAATTGTTTAATACCAAGTCCAACGTAATTTATGTTTGATTAAATAGTCGTGTCGAGACTTATACGAACGGGATGAACGATGGTGTGAAAAGAGAGTTGAATATAATTGTTGGCACCTTGTCAATGAAAATCGGTGCATTAGGACATTGTATGTCACGTTCGGCTTGTTTTTCGGTATAGTCTAGCCCATGAATATTACAAATTAAATAATTATTCATGATGTTTAATTTATCAGTTGAAACTAACATCCGAGTGCTAACGTAATCTTGAGTATTTCTTTTTCATACATTCGTTGTTCACAAGTAAAGGGTGTGGATCCGGCTGTTCAGAAGACAGAACAGGCACACCCACGCCCACCCCACACTGACACCCGCACAACTCTCTGTCACAATATTTACTCATAATACCAGCTCAAATCTGCTGCTTGACAGGCTTTCGTCGAGCTAGAGACTCATGTTGATGATGAACTAGGTTAAATTTGATATCAATCGATAGATCTCGATGAGATCGATCAGGCACAACTGTTTTCTTAATTGGCACAACTCTCTGTGTGAATATTTACTCATAATATCAGTCCGAATCTGCTGCTAACTGATCTCGGGATAGCTGAAGACCCATTTCGATGATGAACTAGGTTGAATTTGGTATCAATCGATAGATCTCATCGAGTTCTATCTGGCACAGTCGTTTTCTGAAACTGGCGCAGGTATTGAAACGAATATTAGGCCGAAATACTGGTTTTTTCGCTTAAAACAGTGTTTGAAAAGTAGTCCTTTTTAATTTTTGGCCATTTTTTTACGATAAATTTTTTTGAAAGGTATGAATTCTATAGTATATTCGATGCTCTATCTAGCACAGTTAACATCTTTTTTGGCACAAGTCTGAAGACAAATATTTGCGCAAAAAAACTCGAATCCTCTGCTAACTTTACCTACGTATGTAATACTCGATAGTCTTCATCACTTAACAATGGAAATGGACCACTATAAGCCACTTGGCTATCACCATTGGATGCTACAGGTTGAGGAAGTTGTGGCGCTTTCGGCACATGTTGAAAACCATCGAGTAATACGACAAAATCTGGTTCGGTCATTGTCAAATGAATATCAGGATCAAAAGTGGGCTCATCGATGTAAAATTCGATTTCCGGATCAATTAGAAGAGGAGGCATGGGAACCCCACAATTCTTATCAAGTTTCATAGTTTCTAGAAGATCAAAAAATTTTTATTTGTTTCTTACGAGCAAATATAAATGAAAAGATGCCTTGATAACTTGCAATAAAAATATGTAGTAAGAGCGACCTTGATTAAATAAAAGATAAGATTAGAAGAACTTTTCGAAAGTTTATTCATTCTTTCTTTCACTGTGTTAAAAAGTCGTAGCTTATCATTGTCACGCCCATCTAACAGCATAAAATAAAGAAGAAGTGAGAATAAATAAGAGTCCTTGTATTTCGTTAATAACTCTCTCAGTATTCATTGTCCAGTCTTCAATTTGTTTTCAAAAAGTTCCTCGTACATATAACAATCTTTTCAGTTTTATTGATTCGTAGCTACAATTCATAGAAAAAATTGATATCCATTTTGTAACGCTTGACAACTTCTATCTTTCAGCAATAGTAGATATCAATACCTGTCTCGAAAATGTATTCATAATAAAATTATATTACAATATTCACATATTATTTCAAACGAAATTTGCCATAATGAGTTAATTCGAATACTGATAGCATATTCATCAATAAATTGAAAATGTAAACAATACTATCAGCATTAACGTCATCAGTAGAATATGAGATTAATCTCTATATTTAAAAAGATTTCAATAAAATTGGTATTTTGCCGAATATTGTCTATAAAAAAGAACAATCTTGTGCTTTTCTCACATATTCTCGAATTTATTCTTCAATATCCCTTATCTCCGATCAACAACAAATAGAATGTTTGATATCTGACTGAGAATATAACTATTCAAATTTTTTGATAAAGATCTCAAACACAAAAATCCCATTTTAATGATAGTTTCGATATATATATATATATATATTGTGTTTTCGAAATTAAATTGATCAATGATTCTATAAAACATTTTCGCGTATATCGTTCAATAGAAAATATACTTCTCGAACTGTACAATCATTAATGAATAATTTAGTCCATGGATTGTTTCAGTTCATGAGAAACATCTCTTAGTTTTATTTTCATTATATTTCATATTTTGCTTGATGATAACAAAATGTGAATTCAATTTTCAATTTCTGTGTAACCAATTTGCCAATCAAGAGTGTCAGAATTTAATTTGTAATGCCAATAATAAAAGTAAAAACACATCGATCTGATTTTTTTAAAAAATATTTCGATAGAATTGATTAAAATTTAGTTATAGAATTTCGTACATTTTGATTTAATTTATTTATAATTGAATCTTTCCGAATAACAACGAAGTTTTCCATAACATAACAACGTAAAGAACTATATATTTGATTAGCATTAGTGTATAGTGAACAATATAGACATCACGCTAACTTTATTCAACTTCTAAATATTCATAGAACTCTTGTTACTACCAAATGATAATGCAGTTATGTAATTGACATCAACCCAATATATTAATACAAAATAAAGAAGTGTGACTAAAAATTGATCCCTAATTAAAAATAACAACTATCTATATTCTTTTTTTTCTCATTCAAAGAATACGTATTTTTTCTTATCATTCATTTAAAGTTGAAAAAGAATAATACCTAACACGTTATTCTGCTGAACAATAGAATTCACATGCCTTTGACTAATTTAAATGTGTTTTTTTTTACCGATCAATAGCCAAACCGGTAACACAGAACAAAAAAAAGTTAAGAAAATTGCACGTAAATTTTCATGGAACAGTCATCGATAATTACGGGTTTATGTCTAGAATCAATAATCAGTTTATTTGAAGAAATATACAAAACTAAGCAAACAGAAAAATTAAATACTTGTTATTTAATATGTTTGTTATGATTGACAGTACAGAATTGCTACTTAATAAATTTTTTTTTCTCTTCTAACTAGCATTTATCGAATGTATACTTGGTTATTTCAATTTTAAAACTACAAGAAAAATCATTGTTATGCATCTTTGTGAGTAAATTATATATAAATAATAATAGATGCATGATCAAACAAATTATTAATTATATATAAGTTTTAATCGACATTGTTTTTTATTAAAATGAACTATAGAGTGCACTTTTAAGGTTAATTATAGAAGCGTTTTTTTACTCTCTTTCTGTTTTTTTTTACTAGCTTAGAAAATATTCTTAATGGTCGGATTCAAAATTTGTTCTTAATGCTTGGATAATTTTACATAAGATTGACGTCATAAAATGGATATTATTAGAATATTTCATAAGATTATTATATATTCAATTCTATTTGAGTCATATAATTTCAAACGAGAAAGAGATCATATATATATAATATAATTAGCATCAATAAAGAAAAAAAAGATAGTAGAAGAAGCATTAACATATACAAAATGATCCGAAAGTAACCCGACAATGTTTGGTTACAAATAACTTTTGATAGGAACAAGGTGGAGAGCTGCGGTTTTTCATTGTTTGAAAGAAGAGATGTGAAGATGCATCGAACTGTTTAATACAAGATAATATGACCTAGTTTTTTCAAGGACTTCAAACACCTTCAAGAACTCTATAATATATGATTCGATGCATCTTCATCTCCTCTTTCGAATGGTAAAAACCGCAACTTTCTATCTTGTTCCTATCAAAAGTTATTCGCAATCAAAGACAACCAAGTTACTTTTGAACTATCCTGTATCTACGAATGAATTGCAACATTTAACGTACCATCTTGAGAAAAAAAATCGAATGAAAGACAAAACATTTTCGATTTGACAGATGATAACTGGTACATTTAATCATTCAAAATCCATGAAAATACTTGAATGACAGATTTTTCTCATGTTCGTTGAAATACAATAGATATGCAAAGTTTGTTAAAAACACTCGAAATTATAAGTAGAAAAAAAAAAACTCTATTTGCATGCCACGATATACAATACACATTCAAAGTTAGATCAATCTGAACTACATAAATCTAGTAGTGTGTTTTATGTTATGACTTAATGACTTTTTCATAAAATATAATTATAAATTAATTTGCAGTAATTTCTATCGTAACTAAAAAAAAAGGACTGAAATATTATATAATATATATATTTGTTTCGAATGTAATTGCGAAGTATTGTACAAATTCTAATCTTGCGTGATAGATTTCTCGTAAAAAAAAAAGATCCTCGCGTGATTCATTGACATTATTTTTGTTTTCTTTCTTCTCATGAATTATGAATTTTCTGACAGTAATATTTTCAATGGTAATCGATCATAATGAATTGAAGTTACATCTCTAACTACAGTTATAAAATGAAGAAAAATGAAAAATTTCACGTAACATTACATTTGTCAATCATGTTTTCAAGGTCTATTCTATGATTTGCATTAAAAAGAAATAATACTGTCTTCTTATATCCTATTTAATGGCTTATATTAGAAAAATGTAGACTTTTTATTCTAATTCTATTAACTTCTGAGATTGAAATGAAAAGAAATCAGTTATATAACATATTCTAAAAGTAGATGGCAGCAAAAATCGATCTTTTAACCCTAACCTGCTTAATATCTTAGGATTTATCTAAGACAATGAATCTCTGATATTTTTTTATGTGATAATGAGAATTTCTTAGTGAATGAAATCTAATCTAAAAAATCATAAAGATTGATTAAAAACAATTCAAGATATTGAATTTTTTCATATAAGAATCATCTCTCGATCCAATAAAATTACAATTTATTCAAATATTTAAATAACATTTAATGCTCACTATATGTACTTAAAAATCAATTAAATTTCTTTCATATGCGCAACGTGAATATTTTGTATTCGATAAAAATTTATACATTATTATATGTGTCAATCATACGGTAATAGTATGTGTAGGTTGTCATTTATTATACGTCAGTTTTCTTTTCCTTTCCTTCATATTCAACATGTTCTTTTTAAATAAATAAAGAAAAAAAGAAAAAAAGATGAGCATATACGCCTTTTTTTTTCTTTCTGTCATAGTTACCTTATCAAAGCTCTACTTCGTCGATTTCTTTTTTTTTTTGTGAGCCGAAAAAAAAATATTTTCTTTTTTTTTCTTCTTCTTCTTCTTTCTCGTTTGAGTAAGAAAACACGCGAATAGCTCGCCTAATTCTATTGAGTAATAAATCAAATTTGAAATATTATTTCTTTTTTCTAGATCGGTTTTTGTTCTTCTTTCCTTTTTTTTCTTCTCAGTCTTTATTTTTCTTCAGCAAACGAAGAGACGTCTATAGAAAGACGAAGAAAAAAAAAACGAGAAAAAGCTCGACGGCAGAAAAAGTAACATCAGTGAAGCTGAACACATTACGTATGCATATATGAAAAGCACTAACATGTTTTTCTATTGACTGCTTTACTTTTATACCAATATTCAAATGTTAATATTATTATTTTAATACAGCACACACACACACACACATACACAGAAAATTTTAAATATGTCCTCAAAAACAAATAATAAAGAAGAGTCATCACAAACAACTTCAGTTTCACAGCAACTTGCTCGTCAATTAGAAGCAGCTGCTGAATGTAAGTAGTCAAGTTTTCATGCGTTGTTTTTTTCTTTTTAAACATATCGATAAATTATTAAAAAAAGAAAACATTCGAAAACTAAGTTATGTTATTTACGCCTGTAAGATTTTATTGTTTGATGAAACAACATCATTGAAAGAAAAACAACTCATGTTTTTTTGTTTTTTAATACACAAGTCAATTTACTTGAATTTCGTATCCATCCCTTTCTTATTTATTCAAGTATGAATTCAGATACCTTTTTTATTTAAAAATCTAAGAGCATGTCACAGAGTAATAATACATCGATTTTGTAATTTCAAAAAAAAAAAAAAATCTTGTAATTATCTATTTAATTAAGCAAGTAACTCTCGTAAAACATCTTTTTTTTTTACTGTGATAAACAAAATTTTTTATAGAGTTATTTCGACATCTATTTAAAAAAAAAAAGAAGAAATTCTGTTTTTGTCCGAGAACCAAGAGACTATCTTGCTCATATCTATTGAGTTATAGAATATCGAAATATTCTCAATTGTAATAAATAATTTTTATTTTCTAGCTGATGAAGAAGAAATTTCAGTTAATGCTTCTGCTTTAAGTCTTGGTATACGTGCTCAAAAAAAATTACTAAGGTAGTCATCATCATCATCATCATGTATTATTTTATTTAAATATAAATATATTGATTTTTATTCTAGTAAATTATCATCAAAATCTGTAGCTAAAATATTTATTGATGAAACAAGTGGCCGTATATTAGATAATTTACATAAATTAGCACGTAATTATTCAGGTAAAAAAGATGCCGATAAATTACTTAAATCAATAATAAAAACAATTGTTAAAATGGGTATATTATATAAAAATGATTTATTTACAGAACATGAACTTAAATTAATTGATGAATTTCGTAATCGTTTTCATTCATTAGCAAAATCTATAATAACATTATATGAAGTTGATTTTAAATTTGATCGATCTGTTTTAACACGTATGTGTCAAGAATGTCAAGAATTAACACATAAAATTATTTCAAAACATTTAACACAAAAATCTCATACACGTATTGATTATGTTTTTAATTATGTATCAAATATTGAATTTCTTGAATATTCATTTAATCCAAATTCAACAATAAATCGTGCAATTATTAAAGAAATTATAGCCGATATGCATACATTGATGGATTCTGGTTTTCTTTAATCAAAATATAAGAACTATATACAAGAACCGTATTATTCTTTGTATCTATAATATACATTCTTTTTTGCTTTCGTTTTATTTCAAAATAAAAAAAAAAGAATTAAAATCTATCTGAAGTAGTTGAAGAAGATGATAAACGTTTGAGAAGACTAGTTAATGCTAATACATCACGAAAATCTAATTGACCATTACGATTTGTATCAACAATATTGAATAGAGCACGTGCTAAATGTTTACTAACAAAACCAAGACCCATTTCTTTTAGAAGAATTTCTACATCTTCAACTGTTATTTTACCATCACCGTTTTTATCTAATGATTTATACTAGTAGAAAGAAAAAAAATTGTATGAATATAAATGTTAATAAAAATTTATAACTCTTTTTTTTTTCTTTCTTACCATTTGATATATTTGCTTAACATTACCAAGACTACTTTTTCCATTATTACGTTTATCAATTCCTCGTTGACCATTATTTAAAAAATCACCAATTCGATTTGATTGTGTTGAATGTGTTTGAGAATTATTTACAGGATTATAATCATCATTATTGATCATAGATGATGATTGATCATTGAAATCAATATTTTCTCGACGAACATCACCAATATAAGAATCAACATCATTGATACCAGCATTACGAAACATTTGTGTAAGTATTCCATTTTTAACATCACTAGGACCAAAATTTTGTAATTGTTCCATTAAGAATTAGTTGATTCGTATGTAATTTTAATTTGATAAAAATGTTCGAATATTTAACTCTGCTTTATATATTTTCAACTTTTTCAAGACAAATGTTGAGTAGGTGATGATAAGTAATAACACATGCGATGACGACAGTATTATATTCATTTATAATGATGTCATTGAAACAACAAATAAATCCAATCATGCTACAGGTAAAATTAGTAATTCTTTTTTGTATGATGATTCAGACTTGTCAAATAATAGCGATGATTTTTGAATGAAATATATTAAATTTAGATTTTAATTAAATATTAGTCAAATCGTAATGATGAAAATATTCGATTAATCATTACTGGTATTACAAACAAAAAATGAAAAAGATCATGTTTAAGATGACAGACTTGCTTGAATATTTGGACACTTTTTGCATATATATAGCTAATTTAGTACTATTACTAATGTACAATTAAAATAACAGTTTTTCTGAAAATTTTTCTTTATTTTACTAATTTATTCTTGTCTGACTTGAATTTTATATTTTAATAAGTCAACAATACGATGTCGAAGGTACAGCATTGTTTTTCAGATGTGTACCTTTACCTTATATATTAAGTATTCACGTGTTTACATGTAACTTTGACATAGGTTAGTAGTAAATTTTTACGTTATTGTGATAATGTCAAAGGCACCTTTTAGAATACTTCTCATTTTATTACATCTTTATTGTTTATGTCAAGTAAATCTTCCAATAATATGCGTCAAAGAGAAAAGTTCAATGAACAGATATTACATAATTAAAAGATAAGCCTGTCAATAGGAATTAATTTTCTTAAATCAACATCAAGATAAGTATTATAGTAAGGCTAAGAATGTTATTCTAAATGACGCATAATTTAAAAGAAATTGTCACGAGTATAGAATGTCGTTACCTCGTATTATTTACTATTTTGCAAAAAAAAAACTAATTTATCTATATTGGTGCATTACTTCACAAGAGAACTACCTTTGGAGCCGAGTTATGAACCAGAAACGAATATTTCTTTGTCGATTTATTAAATTTTCAAATAAACTCGATTTTTGTTATATGTCTGTAGCAAACGACAATTTTTTTGGAAATTCAATATTTCGATAAAGCAACATTTTTTTTTTTGATTGAAAAGTTTAGGATATTCTAAGGGTCATTAGACCTACTTATAAGCAAAATTTCAGATCGAAAATTAGGTACAGCGGTCATAACTTGGCGAACGAATCGTCTTATATTTTTTCTAGTCTTATCGAGACTTTCTCGTAGATTCAATATGCGCTCATATGGCGTGTCATAATTGGAGTACTTCCTTGGTTGTAAACTGTATGCGACATGAGCTATCATTCTAATATTTATCTATAGATTGAATATATTTCTCACGCATCGATCAAAGTCAATTTTTTTTAGTTGAACAAATGATTATTGATATAATAAGCTGTTCATTAAATAATATAATTCTGTCACGGAATTTTCTGTAAATTTACTATTTCTTAGTTTTAATAGTCAATAATTTAAAAGAGTTCTTACAAGAAATAATATCTAATGTAGTGAAAATGATTTTATATTGTTCTTTTATTACAAGAAAAAATTAATCGAAAACAAGAAACAAAGAATTATGACAAATATTTACGAATCTATTCTTCTAGTTTGAAGAAAAAAAACAACGATTCTATGATTTCTTATTGTGAATTACTATCGTAATATTGTTGATCCTTCAAAAATGATGTTCATTTCTTCTCAATGATAATTTATATGAAAACAAAAATTCATATGCCACGGGCAGGAATCGAACCTGCGTTATCCGGACCACAACCGGATGTACTACCATTATACTACCGCGGCGAAAGTAGATTAGACGAAATAATCTTTTCTTGCTTAATTGTGTCGATTCACACTATATGGAAGTCGAGAATTTAATGTCGATTGTATATATTTTGTTAATCGTATATATTTTCTTAGACGAAAAAAAAATTAGTGAAGTTCAACAACTTTCCTAGAATGAATCAGTTTATCATAACAACGTTCGTAAATGAACCCTTGCTTTTGACCTCATTTATTTACAGTAGTCTGCGAAGAACACATGTTCTTATTAAGATTTAGTAGATAGATCGAAGTTTTGATGGATTTTCTCTATAGGATTCCAGTTTCCAACAAAATCAGATTATCAAATTTGAACCTAAGTCTCCACCCAAACGAACACCTCCATTAGATTAATTTGTAAAAAAAAAAATTTCAGAATTTTCCAACATCAAGTTCTCAAAATGAAGGTGCTTTTCATAGGTAGTGTACAAAGCATGACAATTTTGAAAAATTCAGAATTTTTGAATTTTATTTTTACAAGCTAGTCTAATCGATGTCTTTATTCAGGCAAAGTTTCGTATCAAAATTCGAACATCTGATTTTACTGTAAAACTGAGATTCTGCAGGAGAAATCAACTAAAACTTCAATATCTTCATCAAATATCAATAAGAGTATGTATCATTTGGGAATTACTCTAATATAATTAGTAATCCTCTATTCATTGATAAATAAATGAGTTCAAAAGCGAGGGATCATCTGAAAGTATTCTCTTATAAACAGTTGTTATACTGTCGACTTTACATCTGTGGTAAGTGAGTTTAAAATTTAATTAAAATTGAAATATTACTTGATAATAGAAATGTATTTCAATTGTTATTCTATATATAAACAATAATAAGTTGACTCTATTTATTTTATTCAATAGAATATATATATATATATATATCGACAATATTTTTTTCAAAATATTTACTCAAACGAACAGGAAGTTGATATGGGCGGTTTTTAAACACAAGGACGCATTGGACAGCATGTGTCTTATAATTATGATACTAGAATATAATGAATGGTTGTAAGTAGTAATGAAATATTGTTCTGTAAATATTGTAATCAATGGTGTAGGATGCATAATCATTTTGAATAAAGTTTGGATTGGAATTTTTTATAATACATTAAAAAATAAAAACAGAGAAAACATTAAAAGTTTTTATTTAATGTGACTTTATTTTGTGAAATCTTATCTGAATCAATTTATTCATTGTGTTTATAAAGTTTTATTCCTATGAGAATTTTTTTAAATTAATTTGCGCATTCTATACTCAACGAAAAACTGTGATATATCTTTGGAAACACAAAACTTTATTGCCAACGTCAGGCACAAATAATGCATTGACATCAAATAGCTGCATAGAGTATATTTTAATAAATTAATCTATATCAATAAGATATCATCCAATAGAAAAATAGAGTATTATCACAATAATTGCAGCTAGTCTTGTCTCAATACAACATTTTATAAAAACAAAAAAAGACAGTTATTGTAATGATATAAGTAAAGAATAATAAAATGAACTTTGTTATATGACAAATAACTCACACATAAAAGTAGCTAGCGATCTGCACTTTTCAGTATTCGAAAGAAAACAGATCGCTTTATCAATCTATGTAAAAAACCAAACAAATGACTATTTTGAAAACTATGCTCTTGGAAATTTTCCCATTACATGTTAACTTTTAAGATCGTCATCAAAATCGACCTCTCTAGGTGATACCGTTGCCAAGTAATAAGCATTCTTCTGAAACTTTCGGAATCGGCTAATCCATCACTGGTCAGTTTAAAATGAGTCAATATAGAAGGTTTTGACCATGCTAAAACAACTAGTGATGTTTGTTTTCTTTTTTAAAGCAACATAAAAAAATCGTCTATGTTAATTAAGTATCATGGGGGAAACAATGGATTTTTATAATACCAATTTGCTTATCTCGTGTTACGCTAAAAAAAGGAAAATAAACACCATCACTTATCTCAACATGATCAAAACTTTCTATATCAACTCATTTCAAACTGATCAGTGGTCAATTAGCTAATTCCGGAGGTCTCAGAAGAATGCTTGTAACTTGGCATCGGCCTTGATTTTCTTTATCAAATGACGATCTTAAAAGTTAACATGCAATGGAAAGATTTCCAAAGATATCGTTTTCAAAATAGTTACTGGTTTGGTTTTTTTTACATAGATTGATAAAACAATCTGTTCTCTTTCAAATACGGAAAAGTGCAGATTGCTCGCTACTTTTATGTCTGAATTATTAGTGATACAACAAAGTTCATTGACTTTTTGAAATGAATAATAGGATCTGTGCATAACTCGATGATTGGAAAAGAACTGTCTTGTTTTTTTGCTGCTATAAAACCAACTAAAGAATAGAATTTATTAAAATAAATCAAAATATGTTTTAATAATCGCATAGAACATGAATTTTTA